AACTGCTGCATGAACCAAATAATCATATCAATGCCTACACAGGTAATAAAAACAAAACGTTATAAAATCTGTTCGTGTTTGTAAAGTACTGGGTGTGTAGAATATTTTAAAGTGGGAAGATTGGCATACGATGAGAGTAGGATTTAAATAAGGACAACCACATTATTCAAAATCCCAATGTGAAAATAAACTGTTTCCTAGTGATATATAAATTTGATAGTCTTCCACAGTCCTTTATTCTAAGACAGCAATTGTTTTTATTTTGACAACAAAAAGGTAGGTTAATGAAATATGATTTATCAATACTAATGTTTCTGAAGGTTTACAACCATATGTTCACATTAATAAGACATTGCAGATAAACCCATACCATAATCTAGAAGGAATGATAAAGACAACTTTTTTTTATAAATTTGTGCACTGATTTCTAGAGTAGTCAATAATTTGAAATAGTTTTGAAAATGAGAAACTCTTAACTATTTCTCTCACATTCCTTAAAATGCTCAGATCATTTATAAAAGCAAATATTATAAGTAGAATTTTGGTCTTTTGATTCTTTGTTATTTCTCCTACTTTATGTTGCTCTCCAAAATGTGAATACAACGAACAAAGACTATTAAATGAGAAGGGAAATTTTTACACAAATATTCATTTAATCTTTAAAAATCATAAAGACCATATCCATAAGTGAAATAAATCAGAACCACATGTGTAAACATTGTGTCTCCCTAGTGTAAGGAACTGAAAGACTAAATAAGATCCAAAAGGTACAATAAATAGAGTGAAAGGGAAAGAAATTGCTAAAAAGGAAAGAACAACTAGGATGGGGGATAGAGCAAAGAAAGAAGGGAAAAAACATATGTAAATATATATAATATATACATACATTATATATATATGTGATAGTTAAGATAATTATACTACTAATTTCTATTAGTTCACTGAAAGGAACAATTAGTGCTTATATTGTTTGGTCAATTTTGCATGCATGTACCTGGTAATCTGAGCAACTACTTTGAAGATATCAATATGCAATATAATAACCATTATTAATTTTCTATCATCTTGTTTTCAAATTCTATATCATTTTCATTTTTATTTTGTCTCTTTAAAACAAAAAAAATCATAGAAAATCTCTATTAGATTCATTCTCAATACAAAGTTAAGTCAGAATTTTTAATAAATGAATCATGGCATTACCACTGATATTAAATGATAAGCCACAATATCTCAATAACTTTCTGGACATCATAAAATAAGTCTATGGACAAAATAACCTCTGCTACCCATAACTCATAAAAAAGGTTTCTGAGTTGACGAAATATTGTTTAATTCAGCTCTTCATAGCATTTCATCCGCTGGTTTGCATTTATAAACATCTTATAAGCTTCAGACACCACTTTTTTCTGTTTAAATCTGAAACACATTTGTTGTGGTAAAGCATGTACTACCAGAAATACAATTTAGTAAAAGTTCACCCACCCTTATTTTCCCTCAACAAGTCAAATTGTTTGTAATTTTTAGGACACTGAACTGTTCTTTGCCTTGGTATGTACAGAAGTTGGTGATAGTACAGATGGAATTTTGTGTTCTTTTCTTCCATCCCAAATCTCTTAAGTTCTCTATATTGTCATATTATCCTCATACCAGTTATAAAAATTAATTAATTAAATAAGTTCCCATAACTTAATGGAATATTTCTTCTTTCTTAGGTATGTTATGCTCCTCATCCTCTTCAATCTCCACAACCCTAATTTTTGGTGTTACATTAAATATCAAAACTTTCATTGTTATAGTTTTCTCTCTTCAGATAAACTTTCTGTAGTACAAACTTATGAATGTTTTATAGCTCTTATATTTGAAAGCTTTCTAAATTTCACTGTTAATTTCATTAACAGCATCATGTGTACCTATGATGTATGCTGTGATCTTTACCAGTACCTAGCTATAAGTATTTTGCATTGTAGGAAGGAGTACTAGTTTCACAGAGATGAAATCTCAATAGTATTGTTTTAATATGAGTTTTAATTACCAATGTTGTTAAATACTTTAAAATATGTGCTAATTGCATTTCCTACTCTGTGGATTCTCTTTCAGGAGGTGTAGTTCTTATCTCAAAAATTAACATGCATTTTTAATACTTTATTTAGAAAATTATGCTACATCAAATGAATTTCCCCTATAGAAACCATTCTTTTTTTCATTGGACTTTGTTTTTTGCAGTATATAAATTTAATATTTTTATATTATTAAATATGTTGTGTTTTCTGACATGTTGTTTTCCCTATTTCTTCAAAGCCCATATAATGATTCTACAAATGCTCCACAAATATACAACTTCTCTTATAACTTAAAATATTAATTATTTAATCTATATGGATGCATTTTTCATATGTCATGATATGTGAATCTCAATTATTTCTCTTTTAAATTAGCTAATAGTACCACCATTTATTTAGAAAATCCTCTTTCTCATTGTTCAGTAATGCTGATTTTCTTATACCAATTAAATTCTTGTTTGTAACATGTTGGAATTTTGTATGCTTTTCTACACAGAATGCAATAGGAAAAACTGTGTGTGTATATATATATATATATTTACTATAAATTGATTTCTGGAATGACTTTTCAGTATTATGACTTCTCTTTAAAATGTCCTATTTTCCCCATTAGTTTTTTGCTCCAAGTAAATTTTTATTATTCTTTAACTTTTTGAGAAAAATCTAGTTGAGAATTATTTTATTGAAATTGCACTCTCATATTTATAAATTAATATAGAAAGTATTCATAGCTTTATATACCTTTATATATGGAAATACAATCTACCTTTTCATTAATTTTTCTTTTATAACTCACAACAAATACTATTTTAAAGATACATCTAATATATAATTCATGAGGAATATGAAATAGTGGGAAAAGTAAACATGAATAAAACATATATAATATATATATGTGATACATGATAGAACGATATGATGACTTTAAGTCTAAAAGATTATTACAGTAAAAGACACATTATTACAGTAATCCCCTTCAAAATATTCAATTCATTTTAAACACTCTTGTCCCATGGTTCTAGCCACTCTCTGAAGCAGTTCTGGGAGTCCATTTATGAGTCTTTAGTTGTGCTATCCTGGCTTCCTCGATGTCCTGAACTGATTAAAAATTACTACCTTTCAAGGTCATTTTTACTTTGGGGAAGAGCCGGAAGTTGTATGGTGCCAGATTGGGTGAATAAGGCACATGAAGACACACTGGAATGATTTTACAAGCTTCTCTTTCTATGATACTCTGCAACACCAATCACTGGTTTTGATCACACCTCATGAAGCCACTCATGATTGAAGTCTTTGGAACTGCTTCAGAAAATGGCAAAATGAAGGGATAAGTGTGTGAAGTGAGGGGGGTGCTGTGACGGGAATGTGTCTTGCACTGCAATATATTTTCAAAACTTTAATCATTCACTGTATATTTTGATCACACACACACTATATATATCCATATATATATATATATATATAGAGAGAGAGAGAGAGAGAGAGAGTAGAGTCCATTATGATCATAGGCAAGAATTTTGGCCTCTGTGAGGCTCTGCTACCAAGGGAGCATAGCATATATCCAACAAATGTTAGCTATGATCAAAATTTTTAATCTAACATATGCCCAATACTTGACATTTTACAAATTTCTTTCATTTATACCATCTCATTTGCTCTGCTCTATCTTTGCAAAGCTCTATGAGGGGGTGTTGTTCTTAAAATCAAAGAGCAAACACAGGTTGTTTTTGAGTCAAAATCACAAGCTCGATGGGCATGGTGACAGATTCCTACATAATTGGTGTTCTAACTTTAGCACTCAACAGGTTAAGAAGGCTGAGGCAAGAGGATTTCTGTGAGTTTGAGGCTTGCTTGAGATGCATATTAGTTCGAGGCCAGCCAAAACTACACTGTTAAGAACTTATCTCAAAAAACCAAAATAAACAAAAAGCTACAAGTCCATTTCATAGCATCATGATAAAGTTCATGTAAAATAGTGTATGACTTTTCAGTCAAAGGGCAAGTTATACTTGTCCTTTCATCATATTTTCTAATAAGTTGCAATTGCTGAAAGGAACATTATTGACTTTATTTTTTTTATCTCATGCTAAACAGTTACTGAGCTCCTTATTACCTTTTTGTTTATGTACATTTGTAGGTACTGAACTCAGGACTTGCACACTGAGCTACATCTTCTAAATTCAGATATTAATAAAATGAAACACTGTGATATGTTAAAATCTCCCTGTTTGGGAAACATAAATTTAAAATGATGATTTAGTTATCACAACTTGGTTTTTCTTCATTTACGGACTGCATTAGTTTAAGGGTATTCCACATCAGTCCTTTAAGCTTCATAGTACCTTGCCTGACAGAAAAGCTAATGCTATAGTGCAGCAAGAAAAAGAATCAAAGGGAAAGTATTTTTTTCCTAGGTGGGCTTTAAGGCGGGCTCTCCTGTCCGGAAGAGAGAATAAAGGGAGAAGCAGGGAAGAGGCTTCAGGCTGCACCCTTGGGAGAATTTGGTGTCTTCACACCTCTTTCTGATTTGAAGTTGCTGAAGTTCTTTCTCATTATAACTGAGACCTCCCACTGCTCAATATACCCCTCCTCCAGACATAACTTCACATATGAGAGGTTCCATTAAAAAAAAGAACACTGAAGTATTCCATCTTGCCTAAGCTATTCCCCGGGCATTGGATGCTTTCTTTTGAAAAAGTAATACTAATAAAATGTCCATTTCCATTAAATTAGCTGGTTAGCATGATAAAAAAAATCCACGCCAAAGTTATCCATGAAAATCCACTCAAAAACATTTCATTTTTAGTTCACTGTTCTACTTGATCAATTAGAACAATTTTTAAAAACGTAAGAAAAACTAAAAGAGAGAAATGACCAAGACGGCCCTATTCTTTGCACTGCAGAAGCCAAGCTTGGCGTTGGGTGGGAACCAGTACTCACGGGTGAAATGGTTAGAGGTGGATGGATTGACACTGTCCCCGCTGTCCGCACTTTCACTGCTGGAAACGTCATCATCTGATTCCCGCGCAGAAGAGCAGGGTGAGGAGCCGTCGACTTCTTCAAACTTCCTCTTTAAAATTCCACTCATCGCTGCAGCCCTGTCACATGGACCTGGAACGGGACGGGAGCAAGGGAGCAGTGAAATATTTGACCACTGAATGTGTAGCGACGGTCTCAGGAGTCATTTTCCTATGGCTTTTTACACATGGGCTGAGCTGTAGCTTTCTTTTGAAAAGATATTAAGCGGACTGTTTTCCTGCTTATTTTCAAAATAACAAAGCCAAATGAAATTAAATGTGAATATTTGACCATTTGTTTACCAAAGCATTTCTGTTTTTTTTTTTTTTAAGACCTGGTTCCTTTTCACATACTAACACTATTCCTTTTTGTTGGCAAGCTGAGAAAATCCACCTAAGTCCACGAAATTCTGTAACAAAGATGACTGTCAGTGGCCCTCAAAGACCTACATGATTACTGCGTTATACAAAATTCACCTGGAAGAAATGCTCAGAACAAATGTGTAAAAACTTTACACTTCAGTTTTAAAATTGAAGAAACATAATTAGTATAATTTGAAATCTATTCTGAATGTTAAGTCATTTTATTTCACTATTGCCATGAGGTGAACTGTGTCCCCATACTACCTGGTTGCTGAAGCTGTTGCTTATTCTTTTAAAAACTTCCTAAGGCCGTTCTCCTGGGAGACAGCACTAACTGTATGGAAAGTCCTGGGAACAGCCAGGAGATATTGTTTCTTCTAAATAATTTCTTTTAGATGAATGGGCTTTGCTCTCTCCCTCCCTGCACTTTCTCAGCTTTCCTCATTTTACCTTGACATAGGCAGAGTCAGCTAAAGGACATACACTTTCTTTGCAATCTACAGCTGTTTTAAGAGATAAGCTCCATATAAATTAGTTATATGGACATGATCTTACATTGCTAAATTAGGTTAACTTAGCTGAAAGTATTACTAAGTCAATTCCATACATTCTATCTTCCACCTCATTTCTATCAGCTGACTTTGATACTCCTCTGAGTTCTTTAAGCCAGGCTTTCTTTTCTACTTCGAGAGTATTTCAATCAGTCCTGCAGATCAAGAGGAAGCAAGACCCTTAAAACTATTCCAAGGTGCATTCAGCTGCCTTATCTCAGTACTACTGCTCTATAAAATCTCTAAAATCATCTCTTCTCTGTGCAGATCACAGAGCAAGCAGCCTGCTCAGATCCCTTGAGCTGGGCCTGCTTTCCAGTGTCTGATTCAGTAGTTTTCAAAGTGTGCTACCTGGGTCAGTAGCAGCAGGACCACTGAGAGGGAGGCAGTTTAGAAATGTAAATTGTCAGTTCCCACCCCAGATTTCCTGGTGTCAGAAAATTCCAGGGCACAGCATTCGGTACTTAACAGGAGTTTGGAAGCATACTCAATTTTGATGACCAATTACCTAATTTCTAGCTATGCTCCAGAATCTCAATTCCTGAATTTTACCTTCTTTGGGTGTGTCCACATACTAACCCCTTAACACCACACTCAATTCTCAGTCAAAATCTCTTGACCATCCCTAGTATGATTTCTAATAAAATTAAGCACTGTATTAGATGTATCTTAGGTATTTATTCTTAACTCCGGTTCATTCACTTATCTAAGCTTGTGTTGAGTAGCTGGTAGAGTTATGCATGACTCTTTAAGTGGGGTAACGGACACAAACAGGAGTTTGAGCGCATTACCTGTCATCACAGAGCAAGTATCTACTCTGCTAGAATCCATCAAATACAGCATAATTCATGCTGTTTCATTAGTCCATGTCTTCTGCCTGACTGTCGCAGTAACAGTGAAGACAGCTGATAGCAACAGGAAGATGTATCACTGTCCACTGCTCTGAGAATAAAATCTATTCAATGCTGATTTTACCCCATTCAGATTAGCATATTATTTTCTTCATCTTAAAGAGTGTGAAATGCAGAAAATGTTCATGTATATCTGAGCAGGGTAAAGAAGATAAAAAGAGATATTGTAAGTAAAGTCTTGAAATAAAAGTAGGACAGGATATAAATTTTAAAATGGTTCACTTCAAACAAGATGCAAAGCAATTCATGAGGGAGAGGCTCCAAGACATAAAGTAATACATTTAAAAAAGAATCTATGTTTAAAAGTACATTTTTACAAGTATACTTTAGAAGAAGATCTTGCAAAGGGAACAGTGAAACACCTTGTTTTTCTTAGGCACTATTCTCCCTCCTTTCTGCTTCTTCAGGAAAGGCAGACTTCTTAAAAGTCAAGGACACCAAATGGGCTACAGGGAGCCATGTTCCGACATCACAAACAGTGGTACTGATTCTCTTTTCTCTCTCTTCCACTTCCTCTAGAATGAAATGAGGGAACGTTGGAAAGATGGTATGAATATTCCAAAGACACTGTTTTCCTTTTGTTACTACATTTGAGACTGACAAGGCTTGAAGCAATGGAATTGTAAACTGGATATAATTTCTGTCTAGATCTCCAGTACTGAAAAAGCCTGAGCTAGACCCAAGACAAGTGAGAAAAGAACTTGTTGCCTGGAGTGGGAGCTGTATCTAAGCTAGAAATTAAATGTTGAAAGAATTTTAGGGGAATATAGCCTTTACATGTGTTATGGTTTGTCCCCCCAAAGCCTCATGCAGCCATGGGGCAGGCTTTTAGAGTTTGATTGATTATGGGTGTGAGAGCTACACCCGCCCTGAGGTGGATAGTTTGCATATGTAAGGGAGGGGAAGAGGCTGCTTGCGGCCATTCCTCCCTTTTAGTGCTTGTTGCTTTTGCTGTGTTCTGCCGCCATGAGCTGTAGCCCTCTGCCATGTGCCACCCTGCCTTGTAACCTGCCAAGTATGGACTAAAACCTCCACAAACTCTAAGTGAAATAAAGCTTTCCTTCCTTAATTTTGGGCATCAGATATTTTGTCCCCGCAATGAGAGAAAAGTAACCAAGGCACATGTATACACATGAAACTAAGGGCTAAAATGTTTCCAGAGTGAAGTAATGAAGCAAAACACCTTTCCAGTTTCACTGCCTTCAAAAGATATCAAATGATTATATCAAAATGTCATAATAAATTATAATGGCAAGTGGCCCATTGCTTACCGGAATGTGTCCTTTAATATAGTGAGTAGTGGAGGGCTAGTGGGGGATATGGTTTTCTCCCAACTCATCTTACTAGGTGAGAAAAGGGTACAAGAACTTACTGTGAAGATCCGTTAATAAAGTGGTGCTTGCCTCGTTTCCTTGTGTCTTGTTGTTGGCTCTCTAAGAATCTAAGAATGGCAATATGTACCTCATTAAATAAGATCCAGGTGAGGAGAATGAATGTCTATGCTATTGCTACCAGGGCTTTTTAAATACAATGCATTACATTTTTCTTCTCAAAGATGAAGGTAACAATCTAAGCCTAGATAGCAGCCATTTTTATCCCAGACATCACTGTCTAATTCAGAAAACGTGTGCTCCGCAAGGCACTGCCATTTTCCCTGGACTAAGAGAATAGCCTTCCAACTATCCTTTTGCATCTGTCGCTATTCTCTTTCAGTGATGTGTTTCCCAGGCTGCAGGCAGAATGATACATTTAAAATCCATATTTGATAATATCAGCCTCTAGTTTAAAACTCTTAAGAGACTTTGGATTGCCCTAGGATAAAATTCAAATCCTCAAAATATCTTATAAAGTACTTACAGTCCCAATCAGAATCCAGAGGCTGTAAGATGACTAGCCTAGTTCGGCTAACTTCCTCATCCTCCACTTTGAGCCACTGACTTTACTGATATTTCAACTTTTTATCAGCTTACTGCTTCTCCAACTTGCTACTTCTCTCTGATCTTTAGGCCAGCTGGTACCCTTTCCCTTCTGATCTCCTCTTTAATGTTTGTCCATAGCATTTATTACCTTCTAAATTCAGATTACATATTTACGTATTGCTATGTTCATTACTTATTGCTTTCATTCCCTGGTAAAAGAAAGAAGGACAAGGGATCCTTTTCTTTACTGATGCTCCAAGCAGCTAGAATAGTGTCTTATGTAGAATAGGTGCTCAATAAATACTTAAGTGAATAAAAAAGTCGTTTCATTTCCTTACTTTATCCTGTCTGTTCTGCTACACTAGAAGCCTCAGGAAGACAGAATCATGTTTCTCCCACTCACTGCTCTATCTTCCCTACTAACAAAAGATCTGGCACCTTTGATTGAAGGAAAATCAAAATGAGAGACAAAATTGACCTTGCAACACCATGCAATTGTTTATGTATTTACTTATGTTGCTGGCAAACAATACACAAACCAGTTCTAGACTAACATAAGCAAAGGACTTGGAAGATGCTGGAGTAGCCAAAACTTAGAAAATACAGGGATCAGGAAAGCTGTGGTGCTCACAGCTACAGAACTTCTTTGATCTTCCCTCCAGACTTTGCTGTTACCTGGTCTGTGGTCCGCTAACTTTTCTGTATGTGTCACAGCATACATTTACTGTTTTAAGGGATGAAAATCTTTTTGCCCATGTTGGGTTAAATGTCCATCCACTGATCATACAACTCCTTGGCTAGCGGGCAGAGGAAAACATTTTGAGTGTAGGGCCACCTTGAGTAGTAGGTGCTATTCCAGAGAGTCCAATAATTTCAGCTGCATTTCAAAGCCAATATTCTGTCTCTGTCCAACCTGATTTATCTTATTATTTTCATTTATCAATATAATATATGAATTTACCTCTTAGACTGGAATTCTCCTTTCTCTGCACTCATGTTCTTCAATCTACACCCAAATTTAATTTAGAAACTATTTAAAAAATATTAATAAGCATACTTATTAACATGTTATTCTTGACAAATACTATTTATTTCAGATTTGTATTAGATGTAACCATTTCTTAGAAGCTTCTCCAGATACAAAAGAGTGTACTCAGAAAAAAACATTGATAACATAAGAGCCACCAAGTTTTAAAAATGCTAATAAGTACCATTTCATTTAGTCTATTTCTGCTTTATTGAAAAGGTAAAAAGAATAGTGAGATCGATGGGAAAATCAGAACTCAGAAGGGTGTAAGATGACAATAATAGGGAGAGTTTGCATAAAAAGGCAAATCATGAAATAGATGA